GCCCTCTCCCGTTTCCTGCTGTAAACTCAAAATGCTAAAGAGTGGGCTAGAAATTGCAACAATTCAAAAAATATAGGAGGCCTCTTCTACAGTGCACATGGGATTTCAGACACACACGCATCTGTTAAGCCTTGTCTAGGGAACTGCATTGTATAGTGACTCATAGACTGTATCAGCCTGCTCCAGCACACCCAGTCCCAAACACAGACCTATTTGCAAACTGCTGGTTACAACAGACCTTTTACCTGAAAAAAATGAGTAAACACTGGGAAGATGAGGAGATACAGCTCCACTAATGATGCCTGCTGCCTTAACTAGTGAAACACGTTATGGCAGAGTCACAGAAGCAGTGTGTTGCTGTTAGTTGAGAGGCTATTTCTGTCTTTCGAAAGCCTTGCTCATCAGTGCCAGTGCTTTTAATATCCCTCGCTTGCATCTCCCACTTGAAATCTTCAAGGGATTGATGCAGTAAAGCAAGCACTGTGTCATCAGTGAGAGAGGTATGATTTTTAAGGAAGGTACTAGCTCCTATTTCATTGTTGTCTGGGGAGAAAATAAACTTCATTTCCCTTCTGTAAACATTTAAACATCTTGAAGAAACAGACATGGCTGTATCAAACTCATTTCCAATCAAGCTTTCACTTTCTGATAATTGCTTGTGAGAACTTGATGCACAGATCTACAGTACACAACACCTTATCTTGCCTGCACTAACATAGAATATTCAAGTACTCTTCTCAGTTTGTAGGATTAAAAATCCCCCCCTCCAGTAGCAGTCCTAGATCTACTTTGCTCATGTATGAGAACAATATCGAACTGTTCTGCTAGCTTCTTTGCTCTCTTTACCCTCCCACAAAGTTCTGGAGAATGTCACTCGAGATTATGAGATGTTTCACATTCTTCAAGCTGAAATTTGACACGGCTAATCCAAACAGCCAGACCGTTTGGCATCTAGTTCCTAGTGCAGAGCTCTCCGATGGTCCCACTGAAATATTGCGTGAAATACAGCTAAACATGTCAGGGAGAGGGCCACCTTTGAAAGAAAATCTCATTAAAAAGTTTAGTTTAACAAGCTGATGACAGGCATTTCACAAAGCAACTTGACAAATTAGAGTTACACATACATCCCTCACTGTTCAGTTTTGTCTTAGAGTGAAGCAGATTCATTAAAAATGTAGAGTAGGGAAGCTTAGAATAAGATAAAACAAAATATTTGCATACCTTTGTATAGGCAATCCACTCCTCTAAAAGAAAGAGAGAGATTCTTGTTACTTGGTCAGAAAGCAAGCAAGCAAGCAGTACTATTTTGTGAAACTACTCATTTGTAAAGAGAAATGTACTACATAAATGTTGGCTAATTATTTCTCTGTCCTGGAGAAAGGAGAACTCATTTGCTATCCAGAATGTTTTCTATATTTGAAGGGGACCAAAAATACAGCTTTTGGCCCTGTGGCAGAAAACTAACTGGTTAGTAAAGAGCTATACACCTATTTGATAGCATACACATTCAGTGAAATGTGTTTGCATGAGGATGGAGTCAAGCATATGTCTGAATTTAACTGCCTGTGCAAGTAATGTAATGTCTTTGAGGGTAGATTTAGGAGCAAAACCTGGCTTAAGCAGTGCCTTTCCTTTTCTCCTTGGGCTGAAGTTATGGGGGATAGCTGAATGGTAGTTTGCTGCCAGGGAAAGATGGAGGGCTAGCTTCTCCCTTGCTTATTTCTCTTTACTGACCCTGGCACTCACTGGACCTGCACTGCTTTTTTTTTTTTTTTTTTCAGGAAAGATTGCACAATTGTTTCATTTATGGGGCTGAACATAAAAATGGAGGAGGTTAGTGAGTGGCACAGCTAGGTATGGAAGTAAAGAAAGGGAATGGGACCTCTTCCATTGGTAGTAGCAAATCTTAAATTTGGCTCAACCATCTTGAGAGACTTCATTCTTGGTTTTGTTGGGGTTAGTAATGCTATTTGGTAAAACAGAAGACATAAATGCCCTGGCTTAGGAAGAACCCAGCCCAAGGACCCCAGAAATAAAATAATCTTCTAAAACCCAAACCAGAACTGGATAAATTACTTAGTCTTGTTTTTCGTAACGCCACAGACAGTTATACTGGTCTACCAGGGTGAATGGACAGATGGACAGAGGTGGGAAAGGGTGGCCATGCGCGGAAGCAGACCAGACCAACCTAGTCACCAAGAGTTAAGGCTGGAACCATTACCTCTTGCTGATTTGGAAGGAAAAAATCTCCCTTCCTGATAAGAGTAGAAGTTGGTCTCTTGTATCAAAGGAACTAGGGCCAGGTTGCAGTTCAGGTTAAGACCTGTGGCTTTATTTGTGCACTGGACCATGATGGACCTATGCTGAAAAGGAGGCTGCGTCATCCTATTCCTCTTACCTGGACACCCTCCTGTGGTTTAGGACTGGGGAGTCTCCTAGGCAGCGTAGCAGAGTTGGCTCTCCAAGGATTTTGGTGTGTCTTGTTGGGACTGCCATTGATGAGAGGATCTGTTTGGCTTGGAGGCTTTGATCTGGGACTGGCAGACTCTGGAGCTGCTATAGTTGTTTCAGACTTGGCTTTGGAAGACAGTAATTTTGCGTGGACACAAGAAGGCAATGACAGTGAGGAGGCTGGACTGCACCGAGGTGGACTCTTACAAATGTGGTGAAGAGAGCCAGTGTATTCCTTTTGACTCCCCAGCTGAGCTGTGTCAGAGCAGTCCTGAAATGACAGTGAGGCAGAGGCCATCCTTAGACGCCTTAGAGTTGGAGAAGTGGAAATTCTGGCCAAAGCATGCCGGTCAAACTGGAGAGGTGCAGGATCACTCCCAACGCACTCCTCTGTGGGAAGCTTCAGAAGGGAAGACCCTGTATAACCTCGTCTTCTAATGGAGTCGCCTGGGGGCATGGTGGTGTCCATACAAAAGGATATCACCTGTGTTTCACATGGACTGAAGTTGTCTTCTGGAATGCTGCTTCCAGCCAAAGTAACATTTTCTTTATGAAGCTCAGTTTCCCTGTTTAGAAGTTCCACACTGCTGCAGGTTTCTTTGACCAGGTCTGGAGAATAATCAGAGCTTGGTTGTTGCATTCTTTATTTGCAGCATGAAGAATTATAGCTTTGCGTACCTGGGACACGTGAACAGAAAGGTTCTTAGAAACTTGCCGTATGTGTTTTTATATAGGAGGATATGCCCATAGAAAAAAAAATGTAAACAAAATAATGTAGATATGTGCACTACTACCGAAACGATTGCCTGCACTTTGAAGCCTGCTTAAATGCAGGTTTCAACAGCTTCAGGACCCTATTCCGGCAAGCTGTTTTAAACAGCTACTGACTTTGAGTGTGCAAGTGGTGTCAGCATCTGTCAGCAGAACTGATTAGATGGTAAAGACTAACTGTGTAATTAGGAACTCTGCTCATCTGGTACTGCAGCTGCCTAATTTCCTGTTGCCACTCCCCCATCAATAAGTGAGATTGCAGTACTGCTGTACATGGGATAAAAATGAAGCCACTAGCTCTCAGGACTCCTACTTGTTGCAAAATCGTTTATGTACAAATATTAATTACTTGCTGAGTGCTTAAGCAAATACAATTTAACATTTATGTAAGGTGAGTCTAATCTAGGAAAAGTATTTTGCAGTAAATATTATGCGTACATTGCAATCAAATAATGAAGGCAACAGTTTATCTAAGTAATTTATCTAGAAACTGATCTGTTGAGTGGTCAGTAAATAATCTTATGTTCTGTGATTCATGAAGCTCTGTTTTAAAGTATCTTGATAACCAGTCTCTCAAAAACCAGACTGACTTTCCAAGTTATAACTGAATATTATTAATTCAACCTCTTTAATTCAGCTTCTTTGTTTGCTAAGAGGAATCTTGAAACTGTTCATGATTGCTGGCTTCTTTGAGCATTTTTCTTTATTAGAATGAGTTTATTCGAACATATGTTTACTTTTTCCTTGAGCTATTGAATGTCACATATTGAATAAGATTCTGGTCTAATCATATAGTTCCATCAAATTGATTTATAAAGTGATTAGAAAGAAATTATTTCATCAAGTTTAGTAGTTCAAAGTATTGCTTTTTACAAACTCTTCAGCCGTTAGGAGACAATCATTCAGATGTTTACAGGAAGAAAAAGCATATCTTTATGATGTAAATGTCTTCCTTCAAAACTGTAGTGAATAGTCACAAATGTATTAGCATCTATTCATTCCTCTTTAATAGATAAAGGCTAATTAACACATGCTTATTAAAATGGACAAGCACTAAAAATCACATTTAAGATACATCATGCATGACAAGAATGAAAAATTATTACTATTTTCCACTTCTGAGCAAAGATATGATTAAATACCATTGCTGTGAGATTTGCTGTTACTGCTTTTTAAACTCTCAAGACTTTTATTTTGTGAAGTACAATGACATCTAAGCTACATAATGAAAGACTGATCATTGTTTGGCCAGGAGTTTTTTGCCTTTTTTAAAAATTTGTTGTTTTTTTAATAATCGCCTCTTTCCCATTGCAGAATTTTGCAACTCAGCATGGAGCTTCCAGATATTAATGCAAATAGAGTTCTGCTGCATAAATAAGAAATATTATCAAAATATTTTCATGGAAGTTTTATATTAAAAATATGATTAAAAATTGGTTTACCAAGCTTTCTTTTAATAAGCTAAAATTTATGAGTACTTATGAATTAATGTTATGAGTAGAATCTCTCAGCAGCAAAATATTTATAAAGAAAACACATTGTTTAAAAAAGTGGAGAAATACGCCACACACCTGCAGAAAAATTACTGAATATGGTTAAACTTACCAAGGTAGCCAGGTGAAGATTCAAGTATGTCATACCCTTTTCATTTGCAATTAAGTAAAATTTTCAACTAAAGCTTGATTAACTGATATAGGCTTAGCAATAGCGTTTCCTCTTTTAAAGCCTCCTTACTGAATGCTGGTATAGGGAACTAGTTTTTCTTCTTGTAAGTGTAGATTTGTTTCTAGGGGATTTGTTTATCAGGTCAGACGGAAGTGGCTTCAGGATCAATGCTCGTTTACAAAAGGTAACATGATCCATATGTTTTATTAAACTTCATTCCCTTTATAATTCTTTTTTTTTGTACTTTTCACGTTGATAAGGCTTGGCAAGAGAGATCTTAGTCAAGTATATAATAAACTGCAAGAGTAGATGAAATGTTTCCACTGCTTCAATAATACTTTTTTTTTTTTTCCTTGTCTTGATTCATTCGGCTGGGTCTAACTAGGTATTGTTCATCCTTTGTGGGAGAATTGTAGTGATATATCCCTTGATTACATTATTTACAATCAGATTTTAATTTCAGCAAGTGTGATAACTACCTGAGTAACTCTAAACACATATTTTAGTATCACAGTATTTGAGAATTCATCCAAACATTGACAATTCATTTTTAGGCATTCGGTGATTCAGTGTGTTGAAAGGGAAACTCAGGAAAAGGTCTTTTATTTGGTAGATGACTTGTGAGGAAGCACTGACCCCCACAGATGTTCAAACCTAGCAGCTGAGTGACCACTTGCAAATGCAGACAACATTAACACTATGGCATTTTCATTTTCTGTAGTGTTTTTCTAAAACTCATCCACAAACCGAAGTATGATAGCCCAGACTGGGGAGGCTGATTCTGCTTAGCATTGGATGTGACTGTGGGTTGAGGGAGGATTCATCCAAGAGAATGAAAGAAGAAAGCAAGACTTTATCTGCAAGACTGGGACAGTATTACTGTATTTTAGTATTCATCCAGTTTTGCTTCTAGAAAAAGGGATAAATTAAAAAAAAAAAAGTGCTCACCCTGTCTCATAGTTGGTAGTACAAGCATATTTGCTTTAAGTATGTTAGGAACGTAAGATTTTTAAATATTTATTTTAAACTCCTTATGATGCTGTCAAGTTGATATTTTTCCTATGTGAAAGGATGTAGGTAGCCCTTTATATGAACCAGTTCCCAAATTAGTACAAGGTTGACAAAACCAGACCCTACCTCTGCTCTTCAGCTCATGGAAGCCTCATCCTAAATCTAAATCCAACCCCAGGTTCTGAATGTCTAAACCTTCCAATGCTGCTGTTCTGTTTGCCTATATGCTGTTCAGATGTTGACAGGGATGGCTGGGGTAGAAAGAAGGCTCTTGTAAGTTTTTCAACAATACCTATACCTGAGCCTTGATAGCTGCCATGTGGGATCATTTTTTGTAAAAGACAATTTATATATTAGTGAAAGAAAGAAGTTAAGAGTGCTATCCTGAGATCAGGGCTGGTGTGATCTGATGTGTGTTGTTGGAGCTTGCTTAGGTGGCTTTGACATAGCTAGGCAGAAGCTCGGTTTTAAGGCTGTTTTTGATCAATTAGTCTTGACTGAAACCTGGAGATTTTGGGGTTTTTTTGGCCTGTTTTGTTTTTAGCTCTAGCGGAGACTTATCATTAATTTGATCAGTATACTTAACCTAGTAGCAATTATATAAAAAGAGGTTCTCCTTCCCATTTGCAGGCACTATAAATTGAAAACTGTAACTTCCTTTACCCAAAATGAAATACATTTTTAGAGTTTTAAGCACTTCTCTGTCCTAACTGAGGGGGCTGTTGTTGGATGTAGGTAAAGCCATAATTGCCCTCATTTTGCCCAGGCTTTACCTATGCTACCAAACTTGCCTCTTAGTCCTAATTTTAACAAAGCAGGTACCCCTCTCATCTTGGACTATGTATGTGTTCTTAACTGGTTCCTATCACCAATTTATCTCATTAGCTACCACTTTTCCAATCACTTATCCTAGCTCCAACTGTAAACTCAATCCTAGATAAACGGTTACCATAGCATTAATTCTGTGGACTATAGTTTTCATCCTCAGAAGCAAATGCAGACAAGTCATTTAACTGACTAAACTCCATTTACCTTGTATTTGCTTTCTGAAATAACTAACTACATTAGATGAATGGCCTCTTCTGCTCTCAATCCTAGTGTTTATGCTCAAACCTCAGCTTTCTGTCAACTAACTTGAAAATGCAGCCCCAGTCTGAAGCTGAAGTTAATCAGTTGTTTCTTTTGCCTCTTCTCCTGGTGTTCTCCTTTGAGCACAGCCAGGGCCCCGGGTCATTGGCCTTTGTTGACCTGGTCTGTAATGCTGCCATCAGCCTTAGCCATTGGCTTTCAAACAGTTGCAGGGTTTGCCAGGTGACTCCTCCCAGGGTTAATCTCCAAGCTAAACCTATGCCGCCTTATGGATCAAGATGATAGTTCGGGTCAATGATCTTTGCTACCTTTGAACATAACCACATCTGTGTTTTCTCCAGCCCTACTTCCCTGGTTCAGAAATACACACAGCCAGATGTCCTCACTGGCCTCTGCAGTCACCTTCTGAACTTGCATATTACTCATGCTACTGAGCCTCTGTTTGCTGAAACCTGTTACCTCTTGGACGGTGCATCAGCCAAAGGGGTCTCCTGTTACAATGCCTCCAAGCTTTTGGCTGTTTGTCCTCAAAATCTCGCATGCTCTCTACAGTGAGGTAAAAAGCTTTCTATCCTCCACTGATGGAGCTGTTTGGAAATGTGCTTTACTGTGTCACATTTCAAATAACCTCTAGAATTTGGTGTATCCTGAACATGCTTATCCAGCTATTATGCTCTTTGAGCACCGCTACCGTCTTAGTCCCTGGAATGGATGCTTGCTTCTGAGTTCACATGACATGTTTGCAGCTGCCTGACAGCCCTTGCAAAACAAGAGAATCAAATGACATGCCTTTGCAGTCCTGATAATAGCCCTGTGGGGTCTGTGGCAACTTTGAGGTATGACCTGGCCTTAAGAATGAGGCTGTGTGTCTCACCCATCTGCTGCACTCTCGTGGGAACAGGCCAAGCACAGTGGGTTACA